GTTTACCCCAGGGCCTGAGCCTCCAGGAGGCCTGAGCTCTACAGACTCCAGGCGCCAGCATTACACCCGCTTCCCGCTAGACATCACTGTTCCCTCTGGACCAGCCTAGAAGCACCAGATGACCACAATCCATGGCGGTGCCTGCCCAGAACCGGCAGGCCTGAATTTCAAGCATTGGGGTTTAAAGTCTGTGCTGGCTTCTCCTCCATCTGCCCTCTGCAGCAAACCGGAAAAAGAATCCCAATTTCCCGTTGGGGTGGGAAGAGATGAGCTAGGATCAGGATAATGATTTTTAAATGTGAGCAAGGCATTTGACTTCATGTGATGTCTTTCCCCCTCACCCTCTTAATACATAGCATTTTTTTTTATCAACCTTAAGACAAAATAGCTGGCAAAATATTTAAGTGATCAGAAAGAAATATTTTTATTTGCCCGTGTGCGAATTGGGTTATCTGCCTATCTTGTTTATGAAATTTGGCGCTGCCTTTCCTGCACAGTACGCTCGCCTCTCAAATCTTTCCCGGCTCCCATTTCCATATTTCTGCGTGCTTGTTCTTTGTTAATCACTTGGCAAGCGCTTATTTGAATATTAAAAATTTCTTTAATCATCAAAGGCAGGAGCACGGTCTCATGAATATTCATATTTTTCCCCCTCCTCAGACTGGATTCTAGTTCATTACCCTGCAGTAAAAGCCAAACAGCCATCAATCGCCCTCATTACAGGCTCTGGCGTTTTGATTGGCTGCCTGCTGCCCAGAGCTTTTTTTTTTTTTTATTTAAAAAAATTTTTTCCCTTCTCCTATGAGCTGTCTTGTACCTGCCAACAACCAAAAAAAAAAAAAAATCAACAATGCAAGAATAAATTTCTCTGGTTGGAAAACAACTTTGCAAACTTGTCAAACAGTCCTTGCGGCTTGCTGCTGCCGCCCCTGTAGTGTCCACCGGCGCCACCTCTCCCCCCGACCCTGTCCTTCCCCCCACCAAAAAAAAAAAAAAAATGCCCAAGATAAAAGGGTGGGGGGGAGAGAAAATTAAATAAATAAATAAAAAGGGAGAAACTTGAGCCTCAGAGATGAATATTTGTCAAGAGAGTTGACGTAAGTTTCATTTGCATAATGACTTTGTACTTCTGCATTAATAAAATTTGCATATGAAGCCATGTTAATTACTCCTGATCATGCTTTTTGCATTCATGCATAGTAATTTTCTCCGACTTGTGAGAATTAATGTCTTGGCATGGGGGGAGGGGGCGCGGGGACTGTCAGGTTCCCTTGCCAGTGTCCCTCACTCACACGCGCTGCCTCCCTGGCTGTCTCCTTCCTTGATCTATGACTCATTTCTGCACTATCAGTAGGAGTTCTCTGCTTAAAAAAATGTATCAATTGAAAGGCAGCAGTAGGGAGAAAAATACACGTCTCCTGCGCAGTGTATTCCTGACCACCTCTCTCTAGCTCCGAACGTGGAATCTGTAATCCTTCCATTTGGGAGGGGATGTTCCAGAGGCTTCAGGGGTGGGGAAGGCTTGAAATCCCCCCGAAACCGGGCTGGGGCTTTTCCAGGCGTTTTTGTGTCTCCACGCTCCTGGGCGGTGGGCGTGTTCCTGTGTGAGTGCGCATGCGTGAGGCACAGAGCAGGAGCATCTACAAAGTCCCTCCAGAAGGGAGACCGGTGACAGACCCCTGTGGAATGCTTAAACCCATGAAGGCATCAAGAATGAGCTTATATACGTATCATTGCCATGTTTTGGAGCCTAAGAAGCATTTTAGGGGCCTTGTGTTTAAACTTTTTTTGTGTGTGCATAGACCTCCAAAGAAAGCGTTCTTTTACTAGTGTCTTGCAGGCCTCTGCAGCAGGCTTTGCTGTGTTCAGAGCACATCCTCTTGCTTTCTTTGCTGGGCAGTGCTGGTGCCCTGGAAAGGACCATAGGGAGTGGGGCAGGTATCAGAATGGAAAGTGAGAGGATGGTGACCCTTTGCTGCGTGCTTCCTCTGTCCCTGGTTCTGGTACAGGGCTGGCCTGACCCTTCCTTTAAAGCTGAGGGAGCTGAGGCTCTGAGAAAGTGACTCACCTTCAACCAGGAGGCCAGGAGACGGCTGAGGAGGACTTTGAATCCAGGCCTCTCGGTCCTGAAGGCTGTGTGGCCTGGGAGCTCCTGTGGCTTCCTGTGTGTGCATGTGTGGCTGCAAACCCTGTCCCCAGGCCTCAAGGGCTCCTTAAGTGCTTTCTGGATTTCCCAGCTGCACTTTTAAAGGCAGATACCCCTCCTCTGAGGAAGGATGGGGGCTGGGAAGTAGGCTGGGACAGGTACTGAGGCTGTTTTTCCAAGTTAAGAGTCACGTGATGTAAAGTTGACCGTTTTAAAGTGTATGGTCAGCGGTTTTGAGTCTAGGCACAGTGTCATGCAGCCATCACTCCTAAGTCCTGAGCATTTTCATTACATCCCGAAGGAACTCGGTACCCACTCGCCTCCCTTCTTGTCCCCCCAGCTCCCCAGTCCCTGGCAACCGCTACTTTCAGTGTCCATGGATTTGCCGCTTCAGAACATTTCATATCCCTGGAATCATGCAGGATGTGGGTCCTTTCATCACTTTGGGCTTTTGCAATAGTTTCAGATTTCTTGAGTTCCACCTTTGGGCAGCGCTCTGGGTTTAAGCTGCCCCATGGGGAAACCCTCCCAGGGTAGAAGGTGCTCTGAGAGCCCCAGAGAGGCCCCGAAGAGCTTGGGATTTGAAGCCCCTCTCGAGGTTGTCCCCCTCCCCTCGGCCTCAGTTGAGCTGGCCCCCGGGAAGGTCAGAGTTCCTAATGAGGCTCTGGGGAATCTGTCCAGGGCGGCCCAGCCCCCGACCCCTATGCAGGGCGCATCTCGTGGTGTGTGACATCGCCTTTACAGAACCTGGCTTGAGCCCCACCTTGGACCCTTCCATGAGAAGGGTGGGGCCAGATGCCTGTGTTCTAGCAGTTCTCCAACTGTTCCTCCCGCCACGGAGACAGAGTCAGCTCCTTAGCACCTGGGACAACCTTACCAGGCCTCGAGGTGCTTTTGCTGGTTTCTCCATCATGATAAATGGTGCTGGTTGTGTTACGGCTTCACCCAGAACCCAGGAACCGGAGCTTGGGTTTGGCCTTTGCAGCTACCAATGGCTGGATTGAGCCCAGGATCTCAGCCCTCCTCCCCTGACTAGAGATCCCAGGAGCCCTGGTGCCTTTACCCCATTCACTGCAGCTCTAAAGGGAAGGAGCATTGCGGGCTTTGGAGACACAGCTGGGTTCCAGTCTCAGATATCCCTGAGCCTCAGTTTCCCCCCAGCAGAATGTGGATGTTTGCTGATCGAGGTGGCTGTCATGATGATGGATGACTCAGAGTCCTCAGTGGTCTGCAGGGAAGGCCTACATAGGGATTTGAGACCACCAGTGGACAGGATCACATGCAGCGTGCAGGCCAGGGAGGTTCAGGCCAGGGCAGGCTTCCAGGAGGGGACAGGTGCTGACTGACCTTCCTTGAGGAATGGCACTAAATCTAGAACATGGCCTTCCCATCAGCATTTGAGACTGAAACGGTTTACAGGTTCCTCAGCCACGTCCCCCCAGGGCTAACCCTAGCTCAGAAACACCCTGGGCCTTAGGCCTAACCTAATACGAGGTCTTCGTTGGCCCAGAGGGGTCCGAGCAGTGTTGGCCTTAGCTTTGACCTCTTGACGGGACACTGACAGTTGGCAGTCCCTAAGCAGGGGGTCTTGTTCAATGCCCCAATGCCTCAATCCTGGATAACCCACGTTTTAGGGAAACCAGGGTACAGAGAAAGAGCCCTGGTTCTGGGGCCAGACAGCTGGGGTTTGGATGCGGCTGCTGATGTCTGCAGTTTTCTGTGCAATGGGTATCCTAAGTTTCACCCCCCGTGAGTGTGTTAGGAAGTTCAGTCCAGTGAAGACTGACAGGCTCCTGGCTCGCAGGGCCCCGTGGCTCTTCTTGGGCTGGGGGGATTCACGTGGGGGCCCTGGAGTGGACAGATCCCCAGCCGTGCAGACCTGTGCTGGGCCTCCCTGCCAGAGCCGGCCGGCCCAGCTGCCCGTCCTCTTGTTGACGTTTCCTTTTTGTCTCTCTGATGCTTTCCTGTTCAATTATTTGCCCAGGGAATTTGGGCTTCTTCACTTGTGGTTTTGGCAAGGGCTTCACACAAATGTTTTGCCCTGGTGGTCTCTTAGCCATTTAAGATAAACGGCTAAATCAAACGCAGGCCTTGCCAGGGAGCTGAGCGAGCTGTGGGGCTGGGCAGAGGCGGGGCCGGGCCTGGCCCTGTGTCCTTGCTCTGTCACATGGCGGGAGGCCTCCCAAGCCAGGCTGAGATGTTAGGAGGGGCTGAGTGGCACCAGGGTTTTCTTGGGGTGTTGTGGGGGTGCAAAAGCCTTCCGAAGGGCGTTGGGGCTGGGGTGCACATGCTCGGTGCTTGGGGCTGGAGGGAGCCTCCACAGGCAGTCTGCAAGCCGGGAGGCTCGCCGTGCCCAGACACCTGGAGGCGGGCCGAGCTCTCCTTGGCCTGTACCAACAGCCCGTCCTGAGACAGCATACGGGGGAGGCGCTGAGCTTCCCAGCTCTTCCAGGGAGGGGTAGCCCAAAGTTTTGGAAACAGATCCCAAATGGAACCTGCTTGATTGCTCCAGAAGCCCCCACGTGTGGGGTCCTTCCTGAGAGCAGGGCCCTCACAGCCCCCATTCGCCCAGCCCCCGGCACGAGGCCCCCAGAGGTGGGGTCCTGCCTCCTCGACAGCCCAGCCTGGCAGCTGTGGAAACAGGTCCCTTCCCAGAGCCCCCTGCCCACCTCTCCGAGCCTATTCCTCTGCCTGTGTCCCGATTGCCTTCCCTGCTGGGCCTGGCACCCCTGGGGCCTCCCACCCCCGAAGGGTGGCCTGAGCAGAGCCCCATGCCCCGGGCCCCGTCCCACCCCGTGCCCCTCACATGGTCCAGGGCCCGACTGACCAGTCTTTTCTATTGTTTTTTCTCCAGGGCCGTGCAGGCCTGCCCAGCTGCCAGCGGTGGCCCCCATAACCGCCTCCTCCCACCCTCACTCATCCGTGATCACTTCACCTCTGCGGGCCCTGGGCGCTCTCCCGCCCTGCCTCCCCCTGCCGTGCTGCAGCGCGCGCCCGGTCTCGGGTGACGGGACTCAGGGTGAGGGTCAGACGGAGGCTCCCTTTGGATGCCAGTGTCAGTTGTCAGGTAACAGACGACGTGGCGGTGGGGGGTGGGCCCCCGGGGATGGCGGGGTGTGCCGTGGGCAGCGCTGGAGCAAGGTGGGGACCCAGGGAGGAAGGGCAGCTCCCACCCAGAAGGCTTTTTGGGGTGCCAGGGGAAGTGGTGAAGGATGTTCACTGAACTACGAGCCAGTGCCCGGTGCCCCGTGGCAGGAGTCCCCACCGTGCCGCCACCCGTTCTGAGAGTCTTGTTCCCAGAATGCTTCCCTAGCCTCCCAATCCCGTTCTTTGGGTTGTTTAGCGGCAGCTTAATTGGATAACACTTAACATCTGAGGTTTTCTTCTGCCCTTGCCACTGCCAACCCTTCCCCACCCCAGACAACCCCCTGCCCCGCCAAGACAAGGCTAGGGGAGGATTCCTTGCTTGTCTGTGTACATTGCTGGAGCCGTCCAAAATGCTGAGTTTCTCTTTGGGAGAATGTGTTGCCCATTAACTTTGAAAAAGAAAGTGGCTCAAAAGGAGCCTCTTACAAAGCTGTGGCCACGAGAGGGAGTGAAACCCTGGCGGGTGTGTGAGGGGCAGGGGTGGGGGCTGAGTACCTGCTGCGCGTCCAGCTCTGGGCCAGATCCAGACACAGCTGTGTTTGTGCCGACTCGTCCTGCTCTCCTGGGAGGGCGGTGTCGCTGCCCATTCTGCAGGTGGGCAGATGGGGCAGGGTGGCCACACAGCCCTGTCCTGCTCTACGTGCTCTGCCTCTCCCCAGGTGGAACCCAAGATCTTGTTCCACCTAGGGTCTCTGGGAATTCTTGGGGTCCCTGGAAAGTCGGAGCAGAGGCAAACGGCCCTCTCGCAAGTCTGTCCCCGCAGCGTCTCAGCAGGGCTTGGTGTGAAAGCGCTGTGGTCACACAAGCCAGGATGCTGACACAGACACATGTGGCAAGCGGCCGTGGCCTGGTTGCTGTGGCAGGGGCAGGAAAGGAGAGAGGGTGGGTGCAGAGCTGGGGCAGATTTGATTGGTCCCTGCTTTGTCACCAGGCATGGTGCAGGCTTTCTCTGACTTGAGTTGTGAAAGGAAAACTGTTTTTATTGGGCAGGTTTTGTTTTGAATTGAAGCTCTCCCCAGGGATGGTCCCTGTTGGAGCCACAGCTCTGCAGAAGGCCACAGCCACAACTCTGTAAAAGGCAACAGGAAGCCCCTGCTCCAGGGTCCAGAGCTCCCTGGGCTCCAGAGCTCCCTAGTAGGGTGGCCTGGAGCCTTTAGTATACCCTCCCTGCTGTGACAGGTGGTGACACTATAGGATCTGGCTTCCAAGGCGGAGTTCTGGCTTCTTACTGGGCTTATGTCTTAAATGCACAAAGCAAAACCCAAAATCTCTGGGGAAGGAGTCAGAACCACTTGCGAAGACGCTATCTCCCTGTTCTAGGCTGTGCTGGTCCCCAGGTGCTCAGGCCTCCTGTCCTGGCTCAATAAATCTCTTCTGAGGCTGTAGGAGGCCCTGCTTGTTGAGCAAGGGGTGCCTGCTTCCTCTGGGTGGTTGCCCTGTTCTCACGGCTTCCTGTCATTAGCGCTGCAGCCTCTGCAGCCACTGGGGGGGCCGTGCTATCAAAGATCAGCCTGTGTGTTTATTACTGGACTCGGTCAAGTTCTGCGGCAGCACAGAAATCTGATCTTGTCAGAGGCTCATCCAGGGCTTTGCTTAACCCTCTGTTGGCCCTGCTGCGAAGTTGCCAAAGTAGATGAGACTCAGCTAGAGGACTGAGCCCCTCCCTTAAGTGGCCAGGCCCACTTAGCATCTTTGTATGGTGCTGAGCAGGAGCTGTTACCATCCCCATTTCGCAGATGGAGAAGCAAAGGCTTGGGGAGGGAGAGTGGCTGGTCAGGGAGGCAGAACTGGGATTTGTCCTTGGATGCCTTCTGAAAGGCCACCCCTCTTCCCGTGGAACCATGCTGCCTCTGATCACATCCATGGGAGGTCGAATGGACTTTCCAGTGCCTTGGCTCTGGTGGACTCTGCCAACAGCAAGTCCTCATATATGCCACTGGGATCCTTATGAGGACTGTGTGTGAAGGGCCTTCTATGTGCTATACTGTGCTGGGCATTTGTGCGCCTTCTGGAATTTAACCCTCAAAGCAACCTAATGCTTTACTCTCCTTATTTTGCAGATAAGAAAATGATGCTCAGAAATGTTGAGGTCTCACAGCTCACATCCATCCATCGTCCATCCATCCATCCATCCATCCATCCATCCATTCATCCATTCGTCCATCTGTCCATCCATCCAACCATCCATCCATCCATCCATCCGTCTGTCCATCGATCAGTCCATCTGTCCATTCATCCATCTGTCCATCCATCCATCCATCCATCCATCCATCCATCCATCCATCCATCTATCCATCCACCCATCCATCCATCCATCCTTCCAGCCTTCTGTCCATCCATCCATCCATCCATCCATCCATCCAGCCATCCATCCATTTATCTATCCATTCATTCATTCTTTAGCTTGAAGCCATTGGGAGGGCACCTAATTTGTAGCACTGTGCACACCCAGGAAGAGTCAGCAGGCAGGTCCCTGCCCTCCTGCAGTGCAGTGTAGGAGTGGGGACCTTCGTAATGAGGAGGAGGAGCAGAGAGGAGGGAGTGGCAGAGGTGGGATTTGATGCCAGGCTCTGCATCCAGCACCTGCCACATCTTTGGCTTTGGCTCTTCTTTTGGCATTAGAGGCCTTTTTGGATTTTAGGCCTTGAGAGCTTCCAGGACTCAGAGCCTGTGAGCAACCCATTCTTGGCTGCAGTGCTCTGGGAGGGGCATGAGGAAGGGCAGTGTCCTGTTCCTGGGGTTAGGACTACAGGAGGCTGAGCCCCTAGGACCGCTCCAGGACACCCTTCTAAGGGGCTGCTGTTACCTCCTGCCCTCTGCCACCATGTCCAGTAGAGTTCTCTCTTTTCATTCGGTCCCAGTTCATTGGCCCACACCAGCTTGCACCGCCATGTTCTCGATCAATTTCGATACCTGAAACTATCCTAGTCTGATGGTTCTTGTCCCTTTGTGGTTTGTGTCCCTGGCACTGGGTTGTTTGCTCAAGTGTTTTTAGTGCCTGTTGAATGAGTAGTTGGAACGGAGTCGTTAAGCTCCCAGTAACCCGTTAGGAAGAAGCTGGCCTCTGTAAAGATGGAACGGGCCTGCCGTCCTTGCTTGGTTTTGCCCCTTTTCGGATCAGGATGCATTGAACCCATCTCTTCAAATTAACATGAAGAACCCCAGTGTAAACGTGTTTCACGCAGGTTAATTGCATGCTTGTTACAGAATCTGTAGTTATTTATAGAAGGATGTGATTTTACAGGGGAGGAAACCATACAGGTATATGTGTTTGTGCACACGCTGGGCTGGTGGCATCCCAGGCGGCCCTGCCTCTCAGGACCCCAACCCTAGACTCCTTCCAATGGTCACAGTGGGGAGAAGGGACTCTTTTTGACTCTGCTGAAGGAAAGTAGGGCTTTGGGTCTAGGCATTCCTGGGAACTGAAATTTCTTCCCTGAGAAATCCCACATAGCAGATTTGGCACAGTGGCTGTGGGATCAAGAGTCTCAGACTGTGGTCCTGGTCTTTGCTTCAACTGGCCAGGGGCTTTAAAGAAGTCATTGCTCAGTTTCCCCTTCTGTACATATACACGTATGTATGTACAAGTATATGTATGTAACATTTGAAGACGAGGCTCCTGTGTTATTCTCTGAGAGAGATCGATGTGGAGCTACTGTGAATGGAGTGAGCGTGGGGCTAGCTAGGCTCCCAGGGTGGGGCGTTGGGCTTTCAGAGAACGGTTTGGACACTCTTGGGCTTTGTGCCCCCCATCCTGGTACCCTTCCCTGTTCTCAAGCTTCCACGATCGGAAAGTAGTCGTCGTCAAGCGTATGTGACTGCTTGGGGGTGAAGGCTCTTCTGCTCCGTGTAGTCATTTCCCCTCCCCATTCCTCAGTTTCCACATATGAAATGGAGCTAAGAATAGGACACATTCTGAAGGGTTGTTCTGGGCATCCCGTGAGATCCTACGGGCCAGATGCTGAGAACAACGCCACATGCTGGGTGAGTCCTATAGAAGTTAGGGTCCAGTGGACAGGCAGAATGGATTTCACGACATTGACGCCCTGTCAGGTCTCACTTCGAGCTGGATCCTCGGTTTCCATTCTTAAAAGTATTTAGCCTTTTGGCTGGCTCAGATCATGTATCAGCGTTGGGAGGTGGAATAGGAACGGAGACACTTCATTACATATTTAAAAGCTGCAAATGGTCATCAGCCACAGTGATTAATACGTGCACTTGGTGAAGTTCAAGGTCTCAAGCAAGAACACACAGGATCCCAGCTCGGGGAAGTGGAAGTGTTTGGCTTTAATAGAGGGAGTCAGTTGCAGTCATTAGTATATGCTGAAATCACAGGGCAATCTTGTAAAGTTAAATTCAATTTACTTTTCTACTGAAATTGTGCTTGCTGTGTTATTTAACTAGTCTGGGGTTTCTTGGCATGGGTTAAAGGGACAATAAAGATAAAAGAATACCTGTAAGTAAATAGTAGGGTTTAACCATAGAATTTATCCTTTTCTCCTCCTTCAATTATATCCCAGTGTTCATTTTGTGTTGGTTTTATAACCAGAGCCGTCCAATGGGGCACCGTGGATTAGACCACCCTAGCTGTGGAAGCCTGATGCAATTAATACAGTCTGTCTGGAAAGTGGCCTTATTTGTGGAAGTTTTATGTTAATGATATGGTCTGTGCTTTGCACATTTCATACCAGAACAAGAAGCAAGCTGTAGTTTCATTCTGGACTGGGTTTGATTAACACCGGAGGATCCATGGGAAGCCACGCAGTGATGCGGGCAGCGATGGCAACCTCACCAGGCCCCTGCCGATGTGCTGCCTTGATTCCGGTGCAGAGGGTGCCAGAGGCACTCCAGGAGGGCGTTAGATCAGCCACTGAGACTCTGGAGGGAGGGGTGAGTATGGTGATGAAGACAAAAGGAACC